CACCTCCGCTATGTAAATTAGTTATAACTCTTGAACTCGCATTTGTTAATTTAATTCTCATTTGTACCCTTGATAATGGCGTCATGAGGTTGCCGAAACGTCGGGAGATTATATCATTTGTTTTTACTTGTCAAAGTAGGATTCGTTGATAATTAGGGTTTCACGAGGTAAGATCTCAATAATGGTACATTTCACGAGTAACAGCATTTGTTTAGATAGAAAACAATACCACAGCTGTAGATCTTGATATTTGGTACTATTTGTAAGGGGCTGACAGATTGTAGAGCTTAATTGCATGGTACATATAATAAGTGATCACATTCCTAATTGGCATGCAAATCAAGATTTTTGCAGCTTTCTTGTGTTATAACAATACAATTTATTGATTAGGGTTTCACAATGCGAGATCTTGATACTTGGTACATTTTGTGAGTGACGGCATTTGTGCCAGATCTTTACGCTTAATTGTATTGAGACGAGTGACCACATTTGAACCAAGGCAATGATCAGTTTTGGCCTGTGTTTGTTTTGTTTAATGTTATTGTTTTCATGTTGTCACACCTTGATAGCTAGTACATTTTGTGAGTGAGGTGATGGCATTTTGACTTGGTCATGCACACTGGAGACCACATTCACACCAAGTGACTTTGTTTCTTAAAACACATTTCATTGTTTTATTCAAAAATGGAACTTTTTAATTTAGATTACACAATGTTTGATCTTGATGGTTAGTACTACATGTCTTTGCCAGTGACTGAGAGATGGTAAAGCTTAATTGGACTGTAATAGAGTGACCACATTCGTAATTGGCATGCAAATCAAGAGTTTGGCAGCTTTCTTGTGTTATAACAATACAATTTATTGATTAATTAAGGGTTTCACAATGTAAGATCTTGATACTTGGTACATTTTGTGAGTGACGGCATTGGTGCCAGATCTTTACGCTTAATTGCATCAAGACGAGTTACGACATTTGAACCAAGGTGATGATCAGTTTTAACCTGTGTTTGTTTTCTTTGCTGTAATGGAGTTGGCCGTTAATTTTGTATTGTCAGACCTTGATAGCTAGTACATTTTGTGAGTGCGTGATGGCATTTTTCCCTGGCCATGCACACTGGAGACCACATTCACACCAAGTGACTTTGGTTCTTAAAACACATTTCATTGTTTTATTCCAAAATAGAACTTATTAATTTAGATTACACAATGTTTGATCTTGACGGTTAGTACTACATGTACATGTATTTGCCAGTAACTGAGAGATGGTAAAGCTTAATTGGACTGTAATAGAGTGACCACATTCCTAATTGGCATGCAAATCAAGATTTTTGCAGCTTTCTTGTGTTATAATAATACAATTTATAGCTTAAGGGTTTCACAATGTGAGATCTTGATACTTGGTACATTTTGTGAGTGACAGCATTTGTGCCAGATCTTTACGCTTAATTGTATCAAGACAAGTGACCACATTCAAACCAACTCAATGATCAGTTTTGGCCTGTGTTTGTTTTGTTTAATGTTATGGTGTTGGTTAATTTCATATTGTCAGACCTTGATAGCTAGTACATTTTGTGAGTGCGTGATGGCATTTTGACTTAGCCATGCACACTGGAGACCACATTTACACCAAGTGACTTTGGTTCTTAAAACACTTTTCGGTGTTTTATTCAAAAATAGAACTGTTGAATTTAGATTACACATGTTTGATTTTGATGGTTAGTACTACATGTATTTGCCAGTGACTGAGAGATTGTAAAGCTTAATTGGACTGTAATAGAGTGACCACATTCCTAATTGGCATGCAAATCAAGAGTTTGGCAGCTTCGTTGTGTTGTAAATTACAGTACAATTTACTGATTAAGGGTTTCACAATGTGAGATCTTGATACTTGGTACATTATGTGAGTGACGGCATTTGTGCCAGATCTTTACATGTAATTGTGTCAAGACGAGTGACCACATTCAAACCAACGCAATGATCAGTTTTGCTAGCTAGTACATTTGTGAGTGCTTGATGGCATTTTTCACTTGGGCATGCACACTGGAGACCACATTCACACCAAGTGACTTTGGTTCTTAAAACACATCTCGTTAGTGTTGTATTTAAAACTAGAACTTATTTAAATATTTAGATTACACAATGTTTGATCGTGATGTTTAGTGCTATTTGCCAGTGGGTGTTACAAAACTATTCATTTTTCTTCCATCTTTTTCAGGCATCTCAAGGAAATTCATTGAGGCTTGGCAACTTCTATTTGAAATAGAAATCTTTTGGGTAAATGAGCAAATCGAAACATTTTGAAACATGTGACTTGCCAATTGACATGTCAATTGTGTACATGTATCCACCAATTAGAGCCAAATCAAAGAATAACCAAAAGCACAGGAAAACAAATGATAATTACCGCTGTGGCTTGCTGATTTTTTCTTATCTGATTAGCTTTTCCCCATGACTATTTGCAATTTCGAGATGCATGATTGTATATATTTTTTGTTTGTAGTTTTGATTCACACAGTTCATGTAACAGGGTTCACTTAAATTCTGAATTTACTGCTTATATACAGGCTTATATGTGCTTATATACTGCTTATATATATGGGCCATGACTGATTGCATATAAAGATATTTACAATACCACGAGGGCCACTGTAATAACAAAGTTGTAGAAATTCTGTTTTGGATTGACAATCGAACAAGAGACTCTTAATTTCTATCGTGATCACGGGTGCAAGCAATAATTAATGCTCAACTTAATGAACGGCAATCATATACTTTTTCACTAGATTGCAGTTCATTAAACTGATTTCTATAAATGAACATTTCTGATGATGGGAGACACAGCAATTTTCTTTTCCCCCTCTTGTTCAAATTTGGCAGTAGCAAATCTGGAAAAGAATCTTTGAACAAGCATAAATGAACATGGTCATCCCGACTGCAACTTGTTTTTGAAAACTTTGACAGGATTCCCATAGCTATTTGTGTCCTCGTCGGGTACATACCATCTTATGCAAGCAAAGTAGTGTGTGAGATGATCATTTCCCAGCTTAATTGAATGGTGAAAGTAATCCTGTGCAGTGCCAGCAGACACACAGAGTGTTTTTTTCAGGACTTGACCATTATTTGCAGGCCAGGATGCTAAAATTTGGCCTCACCGTATCCCTCTTGGTTGCAATTTAGACCCAAGGTGGTAGACCAAATCTTTATAGAGCCATACTTGTGTATGCTTTCCGCAAGATCACTTGGTACAATATCGCTGTTTACGTACATGTTTGGTAAACTGATTTTGCCATCTGGTGATGCAGTTGACACAATGTTATTAAACTCATGATCTGTGGACCAGTCTGAAGGGGACATTTCTTCACCCTCGTTGCTTCCCAAACTTGTTGGTAAACATAAATGCAGAAACTCATCTTGATACATTCTGGGTAGCATCATATCTTTCAAATACCTTGACATTAGAAATTGCCTCATGAGCTGTAGTTCCACAGATCTTTTGTTTGTCTGTGTGCTGCCCAAAATACCATTGAAGCTTTCGAAACTAAAGCACCAAAAACTTGTAACCGGTCCATGGTCAAGTATGACCTCTTTCAAATGGTTATGCAGATGCATATTTGGTGTAATGACATGCTTGCCGTACAAATTTTCGACTGACTTGCAGAACTTCAGGATCAAACTGTCAGCAATGTTCAGGTTGGTTTTGGAAATAGCTGACTGGCAGAAGTATTTACAAGCTAAAACAAACGTTTGCCAGCATCTGAAATGATCCTCCAGTAAGATACCTTTAAGGCAATAAATAGAGTATATTGGTGTCCAATTTTTCCATTGTTCAGCCGTATATGAACCCGAATTACTGGTTATTTGGGTTGGGAGCCTACCGATGTCACCAGGTACTTCTAATGATTTGATTCTGTCCTCAATGTCTTTCAGTTGACTCGGGGAAAATAATTTCATGTCATTCCACAGATGGAACATCTTTTTCGCTGTCCCAAGAAAAAGATTGTGCATTGGATCAACAGGGCAAAATCTTATAACGTTGAAGTAGTCAAGATCAAGTAAGATGCTATAGTGCGTGATACCACTTTTTTGACCCACCAAATTTTGCTGGGCTTTTGTTTTGCACTTAGCAATTTTGACAGCTTGTCGACGATGGTCTTCATTAGTACGGGACCTCCACAGATTTTGATCAAATCCGGAATCCCATTTTCCTCCCTCTGGAAAAATAAGTGTTGCTACACGTTTTGGCAACTTGTCGATTGTTCACCATCGTAAGGCAGGAATTGTATTTATACAGCTTCGTACACTTGGGGCAAACCACAAACTTATTAGAGTTATCTCTATCAAAATTCAGGAATTGTCTGACGAGGTAGAGTGATCCAGAGAAGCTCAATATTATCTTCTCTTTTATGCTCAGAACCTTGAGCCATGAGACGAGGAACCGAAGCAACCAAGCCATTCCATTATCACTCAGATGGCAAGTTGCTTGCCAGATAAGCAGAAAATAAACAAACCAAAAGATCAGTGAATTCACTTTCTGTAATGATGTCTGCTGGCGCTGAAACTCGGGAAGTGGCGGGGCACTTTCTATGTCTCTGGACAACATCTTGGGTAGTACCCCGTTCCAGATTTCTACAGACTCACAATCGGAACTTGACTTCTCGTCACTTTGGTGATCATCACTGTTGCTACCACCCGCAGCTGTATCATTTTGGTTGTCGTCTTCGGACTGAAACGAGTACAGAATGATGAAAACAGTGATCAAACCGTGGCTCCTGATCAGTAACTCAGAATTTATATATGTAAAACAATTAAATGGAAGGGGGTTCAAATCAAGTTTTAAGGTCATTTTGGCTACTACAGACATCTACGCCATCGGTCCCCAGAATGATTCATTTAGTCCCGGCAGAGGGGAGGTGAAGGCATTGTTTGCTCATCAAGGTTTCTTTCTGTAGGTTTCAAAAGGAGGCATTTTTTGGAGACTTAACACACCCGCTAAAATGCAAAGCTGCTTCAAACATATCCAGGAGATCTAAACGAATCTAAAATTACTAACCTTCATCGTCTGGCGAACTTGATGTTCCAGAATCTAAATTGCAAGACTCTACTGTAGATTGCCTGGTGCTATTGCATAAAACCGAGTACCTTTTCCTTTTGTGTCTTTCGTAGGTTGAACGTGATACGACATCATCACAATGAGCGCAATAAACATAACCTTTAGCTTCATTGAGCACGAACACGGGGTCCGTAATTCTCTATCGGAAGTCACGAGCTGTGAAGTTTAGTGGGACAATATCTGCTTTGTTTAAGGTTCACTAAAAGTTAATTAAAGATTGATTAAAGTTCGACTATGTTTACCAACTTTCATGTTCTAATTTAAGATGTCAAAAGAGATTATATGGATTTTAGTTTACTTTAACTCTTCCTTTAAGGTACAAAACCTTAAGGTCCGTTTTGGAATTAAAAAAAAGATCGCATAATGGCAACCTAAATTTTTTAGTTTTTAAAGTTTAACTTAAGGTTAATTAAAGACCGATTAAAGTTTCATTGAACCTTTATGAAGTTTATTGTCATATTAAAGACAACGAAAGATTAAGAACAGCTTTCAGGTTCCTTTTAATTATTTCTTAAGGTCACCAAAATTTGTGTTTTTGTCCCGTGGAGATAACCGTTCTTGTCGTATAGCCACTCATCGTACAAGAATCTGCAAAAGGCATGTCCAATGTCCAGTTCTCACTTCATGGGGTTATACTTGGCTTGCTGTAGTTGACAAAATGAACCAAAACCAAACAAAACCAAACCAAACCGAACAAAACCAAACTGAACCAAGCCAAACCGAACCAAACCAAACCAAACGAAACAACTAGATGAAAGAAATGGTTACCTTGTTATCAATTATTGTCCCGTTTTAAACGATTTCTTATTCAAGTGTTGGGAAGCCTGTGCCGCATATAGGGAGGAAAACAATTTGCCATGTTCCTATTTTCCACAAGTTCCTACAGAATGTAAGTTTTAGCCAAATCAGTGTTTGAAACTCCTATGTTTATTTATTGCTTGTATATTTTCCATTTAGTTAATAGTGGGAAGGTTTAGAAGTGTATGTGGATCTGACCTGTTTTTGAGAATGAATTGTGGATTTGCAACTACAACCTACCCAAAATAAAGTTATAATCTTTGTAATCAGTCTTTTAATAATACTTAAGACACTGTTGCAACAGTAACAAAATGGATCAGAGCATCAACAATTACAACCTTAAGCATGAGGTTTACGCCAAATGAAAGAAACTTATATCAATATAGCCTGTAGGAAAAAATCTCTTAAGAGCAAATTCCCACAAAAATCAAACAAAATTCAACAATTAAACAAGACTTACCTGTAAGTTGAAGTTTGATTAGAATTCTATCTGTCACCAAGCACTGAGGGATTACGTGAGATAGCATCGCGCCTGCGTGAACTCAGTTTTTAAAGCACTTGCCATGTGTGCAGTGGAAAATCCAGCACCAAGCCACAAAAGGGTTGGGCATGAAAAACCTAGGGCGGACACATAATCCCTCAGTGCTTGGTGACAGATAGAATTCTAATCAAACTTCAACTTACAGGTAAGTCTCGTTTAATTGTTGAATTCTATTCTCTCACTGCACTGAGGGCTCACGTGAGACTTCAAAGCAACTGCACACATGAAACCATTTGAACCATATGCGAGGTGGTTTATTAGTGAATTGTTTAAGTGACAAAATGCTGTCAGCAAAACCACTGTTTACATCAAACGGCTTGTTGTAAAACCTAGCAAAAGTGGTGGCTGAAGACCAACCAGCAGCTGACATTATCTGGTCTAAAGGTACAGAGCACAAACTGGCTTTAGATGTCTCAGGACTGTTCCTACATCCCATGTTTCTGTGTATCTTGATACTGTTGGTCTGGATTCGAAGACTCCTTTCAGAAATCTTGTGACTGTAGGA